GGGAGGCGGCGCCCGCGGCCCGCGCCGCTCCGCCCACACACGGCCCGGGAAGCGGAGGGGAGGACGGAAGGGGGACGGCAAAGGAACGGAGCGGGCAGAGGGGAAAGGGGAGAGAGGGGAAAGGGAGGGGGAGAAGTGAAGGGAGAAAGAAAAGGGACGTGGGGGAGAAAGTGGGCAGGAAAAGAGGGGAATGAAGGGGAGAAGGCCAAGTGTGTGAAGGAAGACAGGAAATAAAGGGAAAAGGACAGGGAACGAGATAGGAAAAATGAAGGGGAGGAGAAGGGGGGGGAAAAAAAGAGAAAGGGGCAGGAAAAGAATCAGAGGAAAGGACAGAGGGAAAAATAAAAAGGGGAAGTCCAGGCTCCTGAACTGGCAGCTCCAGCAGCGCCGGGTATGGGTATGACAGGACGCAGCGGACAGGCCCCGTTGTGGCGAGGCAGCAGCAGCAGCACGCTGGGGACTGCCTGTCCTGTCCCAGCCTGTCCCAGCACATCCCGTCCTGTCCCAGCATGGCGCCTCCGCGGCCCGGCCCGGCTGTGCCGCCCGTATGTGCCGGCAGCACAGAGGGACGCGGCGCCCACGGCCCGCGCAGCAGCAGCTGCACATGGAGGGGAAGCGACGCGCGGGCCGAGAGCCAGCGTGCGGCCGGGCTCCAGCGCACCCGGATTTCAGGAACACCCCCGCTGCTGTGAGCGCAGGGTCCCCGGGACCTGCTGAAATCATTTCCACCTGCATCATTATTTCCCTTTTTCACCACAACTTTCCCTCACATTCTACACTAGATCCTCATGGCAGAGCATCTTGCCTTCCCATTCCCACCTCATCCAACGTGCATCCAACTGTTACTGCTGTAGCAGTACTCCTGCTGGGGCTGAAAGGCAGGCAGTGATGGAGATGCCCACAGGCAGAGTTTAGCCCCGTGTCAAAACTATGGAAAAGTGGAATTGAGTCGTTTATACCCTGGAATAAGACGGACTCTTCCAGCTCACGTGGAAGCCAAGTCTCCAAATGGCCTCATGGCGGGAAGGTCACGGAGAGCCCTTTTCCCTCCGTTCCGCTGTGTCCAACTGTTTCACTGCTCCTACAGAGCGGGAGAAGGGGCTGTGCGCCTTGCTGTGGCTTTCTGCCACTTCCCGAGACTGGGAGTTACCAGGACAACAAAGCAGGGTAGGAGGGAAGTGCGGAGATGGGAGCTCTCCAGGGGCAGCCTCGCCAGTGCCCTCCCACGGGAACAGATTGGAAAGCGGCAGCAGTTCTAGGAAGGCCAGACATGGGTTTGAAACAGAATGTGCTGAAAACGCCACGCTGCCACGCTCTGTGCGTGCCTGCAGCCTCTGTGAAAGCATGCGCTGGGCTCCAAATGGCAGCTCCACAAGTACTTTTAACAAAAATAAAGGAAGAAAAATAAAAGCATAGCATAAGAAGTGGCCATTGCTATAGCAAAGCGAGGAAGCCATGGGGTGCTTGGATGGGATGCTAATATCGTGTATCATGTTTTCACGCTTGAGATTCCCTGTGATGAGGCCTATCTTGACAGAAGACAAGCTATCCTGGGCTTACAAATGAAATTTTTTTGCAGGGGAACTTTTATCTTAAAATAAAGCCAGGAAAGGAACAAGTATGGTCACAGCAACAGCCAGGGCTGGATGCAGAATACAGCCTCTCCCTAGCATGAGAATGGTGAACTGGGGCTGCAGAACTGCCTTAAAAGTTGAGATGTTAAAGCATGACAGAGTTCAGGACTGTTCCCCTCTCCTTCTGCAGTTTGACTCCTATTTTCAGTTATTTTCCACCATAAAAACTATGACTAGTTCTAGTTTTTAAATAGAAAAATGATTTCTCAAAAAAAGCTAAAAAAACAAACCAACCAGAAGATGAGCAACTCTGATTTCTGACAGCCCTTCAGTCATTCTGGTATCCGCTCTCTCTCTCTCCATATATAACTGCTCTTAAAACTAGGCTGTTGCAGGAGCCTTATAGAAATACATGACTAATTACTAATAATGGCAAACAACAGGCTAGTTAAATATTTAAACAGGAATGAATGAATTTTCATGCTGACTAGCTAAAAAGCTCTGAAGAGCAGAAATGCTCTCTCTGCTTGTTTAGACCTCCAAAGGGAAAGCACAGCAACAGAGCTGTCACGGGCTCCACTCCTTCTCCCTGCTGTGCATAAAGAAAAACCCAGGAATGCTCAAGGATGCTGTTCCCTGATTCTAGTAAAATGCATCTTCAGAATATATATATATATATATATTTCAGTGTATATATATTTCAAACTTCAATATATATTTCAAACTTCAAACAAGTTAGTAGCAGCTTTTAGATACGTTTCTTTTTACTGTAGAAATTTAAGGGTTATATCAAAGCTTTTTTTAAAAAATAAAAACATTTAAATTCATATGCATTAGTAAAAATGGCAGAATTACTTGAACTCTTTAAGTGAAGCATTTGGATTCTCATCCTGTAAATATGAACTTTGCTTAGGTAAGACCAGAAAGAGACACTGAAAAAGTATCTTTTGTCTACATTAGGATTATTTTTGTCTACATTAGGATATGTGTAAGGACCAATTTATATGATGTATTTGGCAGTATCTCCCTCAATGCTTGTAAAGATAAAAATATTGCAGTATTAAGAACATTTCCCCTTCTGTATTAAAGCAAGACTAAAAATGGCAAGCCCCAGTGTCTAATAATGAAAAAAAGAAAGGCAAACCGGTCCCTACAGCTTAATGGTGTTTAGACAGATTTTCTGTTATTGCTATGTCTACTGACTGTTCATATTTCTCTCAAAATCTTGAGGGAATCTGTTAAACTCAGAATCAAAACACTCCATTTCCAAACTCTCCAGCCAGAACATTAAATTCTTGTTTATCACCCACGTTCTTATTCATGTTACCAACACAAGATTAGGGATGACTACCTGTCCCTCTGGTATTTGGCTTCCTTTTAGAGCACATACTAAATAAGCACATTGTGAGAACAAAATAATGCTCGAGATGCAAGCTGACTTACCTCCACTTTAAGAGGTGCACAGCCTTTTAGGAACTCTTGAATATTACTGATGCAATCAGCTTCATTTTTAGGCTCCGGACAATACTGAAGAAACAAAATCCACCAAGATCCCCACGTTACCTCCTGTGGAGCCTCTGCTCAGAAGGCCTGCACGAATATTGACATGTGCGTTTTATACTGAGTTAGGGAAGCTTCTGAAGGGGGCGGATGGGGGTGGCAGGCAAGCTGTCGAACCAGGAAGAGCCGCCGAGGAAGTGATGCATCGATCGAAATGGTCGGCATCTTGTTTTGAATGTCAACAGATGACAATGTCCCAAGTGACAGGGAGGAACTGATAACTTTTAAGAACGCTCAGCTCCAAGCCATTAGATAAAAACAAGGGATAAGTAGCTAACAAAAGTGCCTTTTGCTTTTTAAATAAAGGCTATTTTACAGGGTGAAGAGCAATCTTTTTTTAATTAAAACATCTTCTGTGTTGCCATTTCCTATCTCTCAACATACTCCTTCCGCTTTCCCCCCCATTACTTCTCACTATTTTGAACCATCTGCATATATATGCAGAAAAAATCACAATACAAGTGCCTCGGATGGCTTTAAAGGCTTCAGTATGAATACACTTGCTGAGTCTGCCGTAGTTCAAACTGGCATGGATGCAAACTTCATTTATTCGAAACTGCACCTCGTTCCAGCAAGGTTTTTTACACTCAAGAATTCTGAATAGATTTAGACTCTTGCAATTTATTTACTTAAATACAGGCAAGCCACAAATCTATTTAAAAATAAGAGGGTTTTATTTGACCTCTGGTAGGCCCACCATTTCCTCTGCCACCCCAGGGCCTGCATAACTCGCCAAACTACTAGCTCTGGGGAACGTTCAAAAGAGAAAATCAAAACCCACAAGCTAGGATCCTAGTTTACCCTCCGTTAGAATTAACCAGTAACTTAAATTATTTGATACTCTTTACTCATGCTGCCTGCTGAAGACATGCATATCCTGAAACGACCAGTGCAGCGTTTTACCAAACCACATTCTAACTTCAGGCCAGGAAAACATATTTGAAAAGTTACCTTCTCTGCAGATCCCGGAAGAAGGCGATTAATGAGTTTACAGAGCACCGTTCCATCTTTCAGAGAAGTTTTCAGGAACTCCTCTGGATCCTCTACCACTTTCTTGGGAGAATTCAGAACTCCCAGTGCAATGAGCCACGTTACGGTTTGCTCCTCAGGATTCATGGCCAAGGGCTGTGCCTGCAGCCGCGCCGCCACGAGCAACTGCCTGGAACCCACATCCGTGATTGCATCTTCCTGCCCCTGCTCGCGCATGCAGAGCTCCACAGTGAAACCGCTTTTTTTTTTTTTCTTTTCACTAAGCACTGAAACACACCTAACTTTATGACCCAGAATTGCAATTATTCTAATGCAGGAAGTACCCTTGCATTATGGCAACTATTTTTTGCTAGCCCTTTTTTTAAAGGGTTATGATGAAAGCAAATTTGCTACTCATTTTCAGCATTCCTGAAAACAAGTATTCTATGTGGATACTTGCATTGTACCAAGGCCTCGATATTTAGAATAAAAAAATTGCATTTCACAGTGAAGATGATTTGGGGGAGAAGATGCCATGTAACTTTTCAATATAATCTAATTTTTAACTTCTTGTGCTAAAAAAAAATCAATTTAAAGTCACTGCCATTTTACAATACTTGCAAGATCTGATTGTGATTCTGATCGTGCATGTTAAAATCTTTTTTATTTTTTCAATTATTTTATAGAAGATATATGATCCAAAATGTTCTTTTTGCAAGTTTATAATCTGCCAAAGAAAATTTTCTTAGGCAACTCTGAAAACTTCATAAACCAAAATCAAGTCTTTTTAATATAAGGCAGAGTGAGAAATTGCAAATATTTTAGTTATCCCATTAAAGCATCCCTTTGTATCAGGTCTCCACAGGATCCACTACAGGAGTAGGGTTTGGGGTTTTTTTTTTGAGTTTTTCATCCTACTTTAGGGTAGAATTAGCCAGCTCTGAATTCTCTGAATGTTCTAAACTATAAATCCATTTGTGGACCTGTTCCTTGAAGTAGCTCATTTCAAGACCAGTTCTTTTGAACTGCTTTGGCTTAAACTTTGAGACATAGCAAGAAAGAGCAAAAGGAGAAGTTACATAAAATATATTTGCTTGTTTTTCTATGTCCACACTTGATTTGGAACACACCTAAGGTTCATTTTTAATAGCTACCCGTAAGACACAAATATCCTCAGCTTTTGGTCAGAGGATGTGAGGATGAGTTATGTTTTACATAATATAGTGTGTGTGTATGTGTATACATACATACATATATATATATATATATAAAAAATAGCAACACCAGCAGCTGCCAGAGCAAACAGTAACGCTGCGTGAAGCTACATCGCCAAACTCTTACTGCCATCTGGTGACGTCCATCTCTAGCTATCCATGTGTGCACAGAACAGTTACTCTTTCTAGTTCTCAAGAGCAGTGCAGGTGTATACTTGCAGTCTCCATTTCTACAGCTTGTCATTTGTCCAGCCTGTAGGAGGCAAAGTAATTGTTAATACTAATGATATACCGGGGGTCACCACTCACAAATGGAAGAAAACCACTACAGCACTCTTAATTAGCATCCATCAGTTTCTGAGGTAGAGCAAGAAAAGTACTTCAAAACAGGGAAAAGATTTGGAAAAAAAAGCAACAGTTTTTCTTGTTTTGTCTTTCCTTGGAAAAGTTCTCTAATTTTAGCTATTTGCTGACAGGGATAAATCAAATGTATTGTCAATCACCTCTTGCAGAATCAATCTTCATCATCAAGTTATCAATAAGCTTTTATTTGCAGCTTGGCTTCGGTAATGACTGATCTGACTACATTATAGAAAAATGGGTGTTATTCTACATCTGATCAGCAGGGTACACTGATGGTATATAGACTGTAACAGGAGAGAACTAGACTAACTTTGGGAAGAGTCTAGAATGCCTTCTGAAGACAAATTTGCTTCTAAACTAGGAACTTTCAAGCATGCAGTAAGTCAGTGCACAGGCTACTGGGAATGCAGCGTATTTCCCATTTTAGGCAGATATATTTTTTAATACAATAGCTCATGTACTGGGATTACATTTTAGACAGGATTATCTGGTGCAGCCTGAACATCTGCAAGACTATTAACTAGTGCTGAAAAGGTGTATTTTAACAGAACAGCATATTACTTATTAAGGCTGCTTTGTAAGAGTAAACTGCAATTACTATGTAATTATGGTGATTTTTTTTCTACCATGTAAGTGTAGCTAAGCAGCACATTTTTTTTAAACATGCCGCTAATACTTTTGTTTAACAATAAGTTTATTAGCTCTTGAAAACAATGCAGTTCTGCCCATCTACTTGACACATACAGGTAGCCTCACTCCTAGAGTCAGCAGTCTATAACTGAAGCTCCAAGTGATATTCTTATCCCAAACTCAGAGGCAGTTTTAAATCCTTTCTGTAAGAAATGCATTCTTCTAAGCTAATCCTTGTAGACTGTGTTGTTTAAATGAAATCAGTTTATGTCTACTGTACAAGAAGTCATTATCAACTTTATTAGCTAATACTGTGCAAGAATTTCCATCAATCAAAACTTAGTTTTCTACATGAAAGAAGTGACATCAGAGGATTACTCTTGTATTGGCATATCGACACACAGCAGGGCACCAATGCACCAGAACATCTTGTTTCTATGAACTGTAAACACATAAGAGGAGGCACTGTTGGCTGGCACTTTCTAAGGATGCCACTGTGGGGATTTATCACAAATGTGGTCTCGTCAATACTTCCTTCCTCTCATCAAAAAGGCTTAAACAATTACACCACCACTAATATAAAAACGCCAGACAACTTTTAGTAGTCTCTTCCTTTGTTAAGGGTACTATTTTCCTTTGTATTTTGGAGGGCTCAAACTCACTTCAATGTAACTTGCTCCTTTTTCAGCATACAGGGAAATCACGCTATGTGAAGACCAAGGCTGGAATGTTCCTCCACAATCCATTGATGCATGGATTGTGTATGAAAATAAAAGGAAAGGGGTTACTCTTAAACTCTTAACCACTTTGAAGTGCTTTGCTACAGTAACTGGTTTCCACTTAGATAAGAGCTTCTTCATCCAAGAGATTATTAGCCTTGCTTTCAAATGCAATTCCCGAATGAAATGCACCACTTCAAAACAAACACTGGTCAACATCACATTCAAAGCCCAGTTTTTATCAGTTGTGTTTTGTTATCCTTCCATTTCCAACACATATCCACAGCTTCATTGTATTCTTCCTGTCACCATAACTGAAAAAAGGAAAGTCAAGTTAGTTCACTCTAAGAACAACTAGACAGTAAAAAAGCCTCAATTATCTTTGGGTTGATCAGTTATATTTTACATATGCAATGCATAAATTTTAAATATATATGAAAATACTCCAATACTTAACTACAATAACCAAAATTTTGCTTGTATTACTCTTGCATAACAGTGACTCCAGGGTAAGCACCAAATAGAGGTTCTGAAATTCCAGTGAACATTCTGCCAAAACCTCCCATCCCGCTGGCACTCAGCCTTTTCAGGATGATATCCAGAAATCCCGTAACAAATTTATATCCATATACACACATCTGTAAATAGTGATGTGCTGGGATTTGAAATACAAATACAATTTTTACTTAAATCAACTTAAGATTAAGAAATTGAAAACAGCTTATTGAATCAATACAATGACATTCTTCTCTTTAGGACAGTATTAGCTTTCCTTTCATGCAGTTAGCTAAATATACATTGTCATTATTCCTGTTTGCAAGTTGCAAAGTAGGCTAAGGAATTGTGCTTTTACCTTGAGTATCTCTACCACAGTGTATTAAGTAATAGTCTGTAGTAAAGCAAATCTAATTTTCTAAAAAGAGAGAAGCTCTTTCACTTGCCAAGGGTAATTTATCCTCTGCTTCCCAGATGACATAGGGAATTGAGAGTTATTGTGGGACATATATTGAAAAGCTGAAAATATTCTGATAAAATATTAAGGGTGATTTGGCAAAACCAGTCACCAAAGGGTGATTTGGCAAAACCAGATGAAGCATATTAAAGACAATATCTCACTTTTTTAATTAGAATATTAATTATCTGGACCAGCCTCAAACTGCAAATTTGAGAGTTTACCAGTTGTTGGGGAAAGAGAAAGTTTCTTTATAGACATACCTTCTCTAATCCAGCATGGCATCAATACTATCGAAATCAATGATTTTTTAATGAAATCAAATTGCTATACAATTTATTCTTCAAAAAGACACTGCAGGTCAAGCTGCATCTTTTCTGGTAGTTTTTATGATTTTAATTCACAGTCATGCTGAAGAATAACAAGGAGGCACTTTTTTGGGTTGAAAATCTATCAATGCTAACAGAAAACAGAGAGTTGATCAGGTAGAAGATATTCTTTTAATGCATTTAGTTTGGTGCTTCCTCTAGCTTTTAGCAAGGAAATGCATATGGTGCTCCCATTGTTTTCTTAGGTAAAATCCAGAACCCTGAAATAAACACGTAACTTTTTCCTCTATGTCAAAGTAACAAGACTAATTTGTCAAGAATTCTCTGACAAAGAGCAATGCAGATATTTAGTTGCTGAGGCTTTAAATCAGAGAATTATCCGATTTAAGATAACTCTCTTTTAAATTACTAAGAATAATCCAAAATGGCAAGGCTGTATTAGATAATACAACCTATCCTCTTCACAATACAGAGTTTCCTAAAAATCAGTAACAGTGTATCAGACGAACACCTGTGAATCAGCTAAAGCTTTTTCTTTTTGCAATTTAAAAAGCTAGTGCTTAAAAGCAGAGCTTGAAATTAACAGCAAATTATGTTCTTGCATTTATAAAGTACTTTGAAAGCTGCTGTTACATAAAAAGACATAGTCTTGCAATACTTTTGTAGATGTACATTTTTTATCCAAATGCCTTGGAAGAGAGATTTGTCATTACCGTTATCTGTAAACTAATTCCTAACACACATTACACACACAAAAAGGTAATTTTGAATCTTTCTGTGACAGTTATTTGGTAGAAGAGTTTTCCAAAAAGTTTTATTAGCATGACAGCATCTACTGCCTTTTTTACTTTTTTTTCTTTCTGGTGAGTACCAGAGTACCAAAATCTGAATCACTCTTTATATAATAAACTCTGAAGACAGTTGTTCCTCTATCTGCTTGTCCCTGCAGTCACACAGAATACTAATGTGGTAATCTTCAAAGCCACGAAACACAGCTGACCTACAAAGCTTTCATTCATTTCTGAGTTGCTTGGAAATCTATTACTTATTCTAAAG